ACACACACACACACACACACACACACACACACACACACACACACACACACACACACACACACACACACACACACACAGAGAGAGAGAGAGACGCACGCTCGCACATACAAATTAGGCAAAGAAACATGGCTGAACAGAAGTGTGGCAGTTTTATTTCCAGACAATAAACATGAATATAGATGATTTCATGTATTCAAGAATTCTGATTGTGCAATAAGAGTAAAAAGGTGGTCAAACATATTTTTTCAATAGCTTCACACTATCTTCAGTTATCATTCTTTTCCACTCCCAGTCACTCCCAAGCCCAACCTGTTCAACCTGTCCAAACCTGGAGCACAAGAGTGACTTATGTGAAAGTCGACTAAAGAGGACAAGGTGTGTTCTTAGGTACGATCTTCTGCTACCTTAACCATTACCCTGGTTAAGATTATTTTTTAGCATTTTTAGCGTTTCTTAAAGAAGAGAAGATGGAGGCCACAGAAAGGGAAAACACAGAGGACATTGAGACTCTCATGGAGGACATGGACTACATCCCTGGTCACTTCCACCTGGATCTAAATCTTAACTGTGATCCTACTGGGCCAGTGAAGCTGAGACATCGGGACACTTATTTAAGACAGGAAAGCCTGCGAGCTGAGCTAGAAGCAGAAGTTGGATATTTGCAATATGCTGTGCGAAATCTGTTGGGCCTGCTGGCTTTTAACCTGGAACAGCTGGACACTGCTGAGGAAATATTCAGGTGAATATTCACTGCCATCTTTTTTTTAAGGAAGAATATGCAGAAAATTCACTGAGTCAGAGGAAGGATATTTGATACACAGTAAATGCATGATTTCTTCAGAGATCTTGACTGCATTTTCTTTTCTTTCTTGTGTTTTTGCTGCCTTGTGCAGAATAGAAACATCAGACAGATAAGAAGGTTTATATATGTAAAAAACATCATACACATTTTTATTTTAATTCAAGTAACTTAGCTCTCTGCAGACTTCAGACATTAAGATTCTGCTTGATTGTCCACTTTTTACTATTTATTGACACTTTTATTATCGTATGATTCAGCGACACATTTATGGTGCTGCAAGTTGAACCCATTTTTCTGCAAGTAACAGAAGACTGGTTTAATTCCAGCCAGAAATACAAAAATATGTGGTATTAGCTGCTATAACCCTTTGTGACAAGAGACAAGTCAAAAGTATCTTTAAGAAGAATTGGTAAATAATGAAAATCAGAAATACTCATTTGTCTTATTAACACGTTAGCATTTGGTTGACAGCACTAGTCACAGATGCAGGTGACAGAAATGTCAGTGTCTGTCAATAATACCAAGGTGTACACCCATCCATCCTTCCATCCATCCTTCCATCCATCCATCCATCCATCCATCCATCAGTTGGTTGAAGGAAAGACCACTTAGTCCTTCGAGTACTTAGTTTGAGTACTAATCTTAAAATTAGTTTAGATTAAATATCTTTGCAAATAACTTTGCTCATGTAAGCTATGTAAAATTTCACTTAAAGTCTAAACTGCAATTGGCCAGGTAGTTTTAATGTCTGTGTCCACCCCTTTAGTAATGAATCAATCAGATCTATATTTTGAACATATAAGTAACAATAATGGACAAAAAAACCCCTAATAAAGGTGAAATCATTAAAAGCCATCCTATTCACATGGAGAAAAAATAAATAAATAAAAAATGCTGACCACTCCCAGTTCAAAAAAGAGTGGGAGGAAGCAAATGCTTATTAATTCCTACCCCTAGCTAGTTCATCATACATGTCTGTTTTGATTATACAGTATAAACAGATAGAAATAAATATATGAATACATACATCTTTATACATTGAACTTTAATTTTTCAACTATAACTATCCACAAGTATTCCTTTTTTAATATGTCACTATATACAATTATCAGTTCTTACTGCACAGTACATGAAGCAAGAAAATGAAGAAAAGATAATTATCCCATTGCAACATAGTCATAACTGCAGTAGCTGGTAATTCTATAGTTAAAATTCCAACTTCACTCACAGCTGCCATTTCTTATTTTTTTTAGTTAGATGCTGTGTGAAATGTGCCTCCTGGATCTGATAGCTCTTTATGTTAATCTGGACCTGTTTCTAAGCCCCACCGTCTGTGTGTTCTGGCCTTTCAGGGGCATTTGCAAAGAGGACCCTGGGAATCTGAATGCCTGGGCAAACCTGGGCTACGTGTACGACAAGCTGGGACGAGAACTGGATGCAGGCGAGTGTGTGGACAAAGTGTCCAACCTCATGGGCTTAGATGGCGGTGAGGCGTCTCAGGATGAGATCAGGATTATGGCTGCACGCTGCCTGGTCGAGCAGGCCTACGTCTTTCCGTACGATATAGAGCTGGACAGCGACGACGATTTGAGAGAGCGACTGAACACTGCACTGTCTTTTTACAACAGAGCCCTGCATTATGGGGGTGACCTGGTGAGAGATATGAATACTTTAACTCCTGACTACCAGGGAAAAAAATGTTGTCCAAGCAAAAAATTTTTAAATCCCCCAATGTTTGTAAAGTAATTAGAAGACTGAAATAATTTTTTGGGAAAAAAAGTTTACATTTTTTAGATATCACATGTCCACTGCAGAGGACATTGGAAGGCCAAACGTGTAAAATTGAACTTTGATGGCAAACATTTACTTCAACTCTTCACCAAGGAGAAGTTTGAACTCAAGGAACTGTAGTGGTTTCTTCCCCCAAAACTGCAAGTCACTGCTATACTGAAGCCACGAGTTGGTGATTGCCAGATCAAAAAGTAGAAAACTGCACATACTGTCAATTTCTGAGTGTGAGAGACCATCCTGTAGAAACTCAACATTCAATATGGTCCACGTCACCTATATTGGTAGTGTACTCAGCAATTGCCAGTGGACTTGGCACATGGACAAACCTTTTGTTTTTCTTAAACCATCTTGTGCGTCTGTCCTGAGGTTGATTGCCATAGGATGCCATGACAACTGTCCAACCACTTAATGACAGCAAGTTCAGGTCTGAGTACCATCCCTGATGCTCCTCCTTCTTTCTTCTTCAAGGGCTTATTCCCTATGATCTTCTTCATCAGACAACTCAAGATCTGGGTTTCCCTCATCAAACTGCAATAAGTTTCTTTTTGCTTCTAAAGAGGACTCCTTTTCTGGTCATTTAAAAAAACAGAACAAAATGGAGGAAATGACTACAAATGTCCACTACGGAGGACATTTTTTAAACACTTCAATACTATACTAAAATGAAGTTAGAATTAAGCATACTATGTTTTAATGTGTTATTAAGAGACTTGTTTAAAATATGCTAACAACATTTATAGCTAAAAATTGCTCAATAAGAAGTTTTTTGCACTTAGTTTTCTTCTTCCCATAAAATGTGCTTGCAGCGATGGCTGCCATGTTCCTTAATGAAAAAACTAAAGTTCCCAAAGCTCCACCCCTTCACATTTGGTATCATTGGAAAGCCCTAAATGTCCTCTGTAGATACCAATAGGAGGCAATTCTGTAGTATGCAGTGCATGGGAGATATTCAGGTTTAGAAAGGTGCTCTACAGAGGACAAATTTGCATTGCTGGTAGTCAGGAGGTTAAATAAAGAGACAACACATGGTTAACTGCCAAGAATCACATTGCAGAGTGTAAAGACAAAGCGGAGCACTGATATAACGACTGGTTAGATGGTGAGCATTCACATCATTCTAGCTTTTCTGCTGGATGGTATTTTACTGCACAACACTGGTAATTAGATGGCTTTGAAATCATTGCCGACGAACTGTGTGATTCATTTCCTCCCACAAGAATTAACTGAAGGAATATGACAATGCTCAAAAGATTACACACAGGAAGACAATGAGGCCATTTTACTTTGTTGTAGTCTAAAATCACAAATTTAGTAGCAGATAAGAGCTTTCAAATCACTGTTTCATTTTGTAGGGAGCATTTAAGTGGGGTATTACTTAACTTGTGCTGCTGTTTTTCAGATACCGATAGAGGAAAAACGAAGCTGGTATTTTAAAATGGCAACAATCTACATAAGGTACTGGGTGATATGATTTAGATTACTATCACCACACAGTGTGAAAATATTCAAGTTATTTTCTGTCTGCAGGCTGGACAACATAGTAAAGACCAAAGAGGATTCTGAGTACTCCAGACTTTCGCACTACAATAAAGGACTCCAGTTTCTGAAAGAAACACTGGAATCTGAGAAAACACAGCACAAAGGTAAACATGTGACAGTATTGTATTGAAATTAATCCACAGTTCTTACAGATGTTCAAGTTTCAGTACATCAAAAAGTATCAAAATTAAAGGTGTTCATGAAGGCTGGCCGCACCAGACTCTTTAATAATCAGAGATTGATTATAAATGTATTAGTTTGTGCATAATTTTGCAAACAGGTGTTTGTATTTAACATCTGATTATACAAACTAACTAAAGACAGATCAATACAGTCATGATAAATGCTTTCAGTCATGGAGTCAGAGAGAAAAAAGAAATACAAATCTGTTCCGCATGTGGTCCTTAAAGGTCTCAGATTAACACTACAACACACAACATATTAGATCATGACATTATATATTTCTAAAAGAACATCTACAATGATCTTACACAACCAATTCTGTCTGAAGAGGTCATTCCCAAACAATTTGGAAAGTCAAAGTCAATCATTGCACAAGGGAAAGATTATTGTCAAGAGAAAAACATTCAACATAGTCCCAACAGTCTCATTATGATTATTATGATTATTATCATTATCATATTATCATTATTATTATTGATTGCAAGTCGGTGAAGGTGTATTATCCATATCAATGAGCTACTAGTTTTTGTTGCTGAAATCATTTTGTTAAAACTACAGGCCAGTTCGTTTGTCTATTTCCTCAAGTACATGCTATTTACAAAAAATAAAAGCTGAAAAACCAAATCTCCTCGACTCTCCCATCAGCTCTAGCTTGGTGTTATGTCGGCATCATGTTAGAAAGGAAGAAGGAGTTTTCCCCTGTGCCCATGTCCATACACGACTGCGGTTTCTCGGCTTCGGATCCTCTGTCCTGTTATGGAACTGTGAGTTAACTCATGCACCTCTCACCAAGCTGGGACAAAAACAATTACTTTCCCTCAAACTGTTAGGACTAAACCTCTGCAATCAGCCTGTCATCTGACTTTTGTTAGAGATAAAGTATCTGAATTCCAGGAGCGGGGCCTCGCCTCCGAACACGCTCCTTCTGGTTCTTATCTACATCTGTTCCCCCAGTTCTACAAGCTGTTCGTTTTTGTGCCCCTCCCTCGCTCCCCTTTTCAGTTCTTTCACTTCTTCACTTCTATTTAGTACACGTGATCTTCCAGGCCCGGGAGCCGCTGCCAGTCCTCTCCGAGGCCTTCCCCAAACTTCAGCTCAATTCATGTTTAAGCCATTCACCTTTATCTGCTAAAATGCTGTCAAACCTAAAATGAGGGCCAGTGAGTGAAATGCGTTTTATTTGAGACTTTTCAGTTCAAAAGATTGAAAAACATGTATCTAACTAGGACAACAGAAGGTTTTATTCAACTAAAAACTGCTGAACAAGTCATTAACTCACTCACTTACTAATTGCTCATTTGGTTTAACAATGAGCGACAGACTGGCGACCTGTCCAGGGTGTACCCCGCCTCTCACCCTATGACAGCTGGGATAGGCTCCAGACCCTGAAAAGGATAAGCAGAAGCGAATGGATGGATGGGTTTAAGAAATACTGCTGCACTGTTCCCTTTTAAGATGAGATAATAACAGCTCTGTCTGTGTTTCCAGGCCATAAATATGGCCAGTGACGATGCATTTATCCTGAACCTTCTGGCCAGAGTCTTCTCTCTGCTGGGTAAACATGAAATGGCTACAGGGATCTGCAATATGGCCCTAAATGTGCTGCCAGATCCAGAACTCAACTGGCAGGCTCACTGCACCCGTGCCAAGGTACTGTAGCTACGACTAATCAAGTCAGTTGCTATGACAGCTCCTTTTAAGGCCAGAATAGCTGTATTAGTTTAAAGTGGCTAGTACATGTAAAAAGTTTACATATTTGGACAACATGTTCTCTGTGTAGATCAATATAATCCTGTACATGGGGGACCTCGAGAAGGCAAAGCTTGGTGATGGTGGAATCCCAGACCGACAGAAGCTAATTGAAGCTAGAAAAGACTTAGACAAAGTACTCGGTGTACGCCCCTGTCTTCGAACACATTTGGAGATGGCACAGGTAAAAGCATAACGTGCAAAGCTGGTCAAATTCTGTGTTTCATGTCCCAACAAGGCTTTCAAGTTGATGTTTTTCATTTCAGGTATACTACTACATGGGTGTAGATGCACTCCAGGAGAGCCTTTTGGTGGATGAGAGTGCAATAAATAGTGCCCTGGTGAGTTTGTCTCACGCTCTGAAGTTTGAGCTGGGAGACTGCTTACCGGAACTTCATGTGCTCAGAGGACGCTGCCTCCTCGTGAAAGGCGAGGAGCAGAACGCCGTAGACTGCTTCAAAAAAGCTCTGGAGTTAGAGAAACAAGGGAGCAGAGACACCACAGCCCTGCGCTGCCTCTTACAGGCTCTCCTGACTCTGTTCATGCAGGGAGACCCTGACCCTGGCATTGTCATCACTCAGCTGGAAATGTGGGTGCTCAAGGCAGAGGAGCTGTACTCTCAGGACATAGTGAAGGCTGAGCTGAGGTACCTTTATACGACACACACGGCAGAGGTTACAGAGTTATCGAGGGTTCTGATCAAGACAGGACGCCTGGACCTAGTGAGGAGGCTGCTGGATACAGTGGTGCCTAAACAGCTGGCTAAAAAGAGATCACTGGTCTTTAGGTCGGTCTCATTAACATGATACAAAGATGTGGCTTGAACAGTTATTAAAGAATGACTTAACATAATTTCATGTATTTAAATAAACAGCTCTTACTAAGTGCTGCCTATACAGCATTTACAGGATGTTTTCTCCAAACTGTGATTAATCTATCGTTCTGTTTTTTGTAAGATAATAGCTGTAAGGTATCATATTTTTTAGAGTGCTTCGCAAACTGAGTAGTTTTACATCTTAAGCAGTCTTACTGCTATTGCAAAACCCACACACTGTCCCTCTACCTCTCACATAATAGATGTTTTACCACTAATGACCTGCAGATGGGGGTATATACCATAAGATTGTTGAACCAAAAACAGAGTTGGCAACAATGTATCGTGAGCCTTTGAGAAGTGTGATGTAAGTGTTTATAGGACATTTAAAATTGCATTTAATAAAATAATGACTTTTGGAACACTTAATACACCAACTCTTGCAGATGTGGAATCTCACAGGTTTGAGGGGGTACAAGCATTTAGTTGACACAGTGATTGTTGATATTTTCCTTAATTTAAATACATGTCTATTAATTTGTAGTTAAATGAATAAGTTATGATGACATATACAAAGCAAACCTGTTGCTTCATCCTGCTGCAATTTGAAGGATAAAATCACACAGAAATGTATGTTGGGACTCTGTATTTTTTATACTAACTTATACGCAAGCCTTAGTTACCGGTAAGGAAAGTACAGCTGGTTTAAGGGTTTTCTTTCCCCAATATTTGAAAGGTACATTTCTAAATTAGGGGTGTAATCTTCTGTACTTAAAAATACTTACCAGCAAGTACAGTAGAAAGTGAAAATAAAATGAAAGTAAGAGTCTGGAAAGAAGATTATTGGAAAGATTATTTTTGCCAAAGTTTTTTTTTTTTTAAAAAAGATACAAATTAGTAAAACCTTTATATATGTTTTTTTTTCTTTTTTGTCTTGCCAAGGATATCAAAATGAGTCAAGTGTGAAGGTGAGTGATTGTATGTATTTATGTATTTGCAAAAGCAGCTGAAGCAGTCTCCACCTTTCTGTGGAAGCCAAAATGGATTTCCATTCCATTGTTATTCAAATATTTTCACGTAGCCTTGAGTTTGTCGTGACACATTTCAGACGTCTCTGCTGACTTCACTGCCACTACACTGGGGACTCGTGAGATCTTGTTTACAGAATATAACATATAACACGATGCTCAGGACGGATTTCATTCAAAAGTATAAAACAGTGGAAAATTACATTGTAAATTTTTACATAAAAGGAAAAATGCTTTTATTAAGTTCATTTGACAACTTCTTTTGTTGAGTGCCGGTGCAGAAAGATAGAAACTTACATGAAGGACAAAAACCACGTGAAAAAAAGTTACAGAACTACACAAAGATTTCAAAATGTTATTAATCTTTTTGTTCTATCAAATCATAAACAAGAAGACTGAAAGTCACAAAGTAAACCTAGACTGAATGCTGAATGAGCTAAGGCAAAGACAAACTTTAACTCTGCTTTCTTTAAAAGTTAGATTTATGATAATGATTTGAGTTACAATTTGTCTGATCCCCCATCGTAAGGCCTTTGACCGTTTCTTGTTTTATTTATTGCAAATGTGTTTGATGAGTCAGAGGTCTTTAAAACAGGGATTAAATTAAAAATATGCATGAATAAAACATATTGTTCTTGTCTTTAGATCATCAAAGCAAACCTCTTACCAGCTCTTTAAAAAAAAGTCAAAACCAAATACCAGTTCACTTAGTCACAACAAACATAGTTAAACTCAATCAAATGCCTTTTTAAAGACAGAGCACACCAATGAAAAGCAACCCTGGCATGAAGCCATAACAGACTCTCATCTTTGCCTGGTGGACTTAACTGGTGCAGGCTGCATGTTGATGACACTTGTGCTTTTCTTGCGAATTTTTAACTCACGGTGCATCTCACACCAAGAGCACCACACACAGAAACAGGAACTCATCATGTCCTTACAGATAGAACCCTGTAGAGAAATATTTGGTAATTATACACTTTTACCACTTTATCCAGTCATTAGTTACAGCTATAGCTTCTTCCTCCCATCACCCCAATCGGTTGTGGCAGATAGCTGCCCCTGCCTGAGCATGGATTTCTTTCTGTTCAAAATGAGTTTTTCCTTTCCACTGTTGCCAAATGCTTGCTCAAAGTGGGTCATTTGATTGTTGGCATTTTCTCTCTATTATTATAGGGTCTTTACCTTAAAAAATAAAGTGCCTTTAAAAAGATTGGATTGAATTAACTATTACTGAACTGAACTATTACTAATACTTGATTCTCTTTATTTCTGACTGTGGGAATGTAAAAAACAGCAGAAATTTTTAACAAGAATTTCTTTGACAAATTTACCTTGGTGCCATATTTATATCGAATCCCAACCTTAATGGCCAAGGCAGCAGGAGGTACAACAATTGGTATCCCAATGGCTGAGGTCACAGCTGTGCTGAACATGTCGCATAATGGGACACAGCGGTGGTCTCCCATCTGTCCTACAACTGTGCAGGTAAGGCAAGGGCAGCACCAGAAACCATAGCAGCCTGAAAACAACTGCAGTACAAAATACGTAGTACATGATTTAAGCGACAACACATAGTGTACAATTTCATAGAGAGTTGTTGATGCTTACAAGATGTCATGTGTTTGCAAGCTCCTTTGACTACGATGACCTGGATGACTGAGAACCTTCACAGACGTCATGTGTTTACAACAGTCACAGAGGGTGGCACTCTAGTTTGTCGATGATTGTGTTTCCATTGTCGTTAAATGTTAGTCACAGAATAAAGTCAAATTACCTGTTGATACATAGGAATCAGTACCAAGCAACAGCACCTAAATAGCAAAATTGTCACTTTCAGCAGCAAATATTTGTTGTTGATTCAAATGCGGAACATTGATTTGGATGCTGAAATGCTTAGTAACAACATTAAAACAGAAAAAACCCAACCTGCTATCTTCTACAGTTGAAATACATAAATGTCAATGTTAAGTTTTAAAGACAAAAACACTAAATCTACACACAATGCCAATAGACATCAGTTACAGGCCCTAAGCATGTTTTAAAAACTACTTCATGCTTTATGCTAGTACTATATACTGCTTTATGTCTTTCAATAACAATCACAATACATAACATTTCCTATGAAGAAACACGAAAAAAAAAAACAACCAACAACAAAAAAAACTGTACCTGTCAAAGCTGGGTATGTTGTTGTGAAGTCAGGTAAATATGAAAGAACATGCCTTCTGTGCCTTTTGTATTATACAATCACTTGGCAAAAACAATGTTGTAGAACCAGAATTATTGCCAGAAAAAGGGTTAAAACAGTGATGTACATTAGGAATCATGTGTCCATGGGTTTATATTTCTGTAAGTGTGCCAAATGTGTTGTTGACTCCACATTAAACAAATATGTAAGACTGCTTTCTTCCATTTGCGCAACATCTCTAAAATTAGAAATATCCTGTCTCAGAGTGACGCTGAAACACTAGTTCATGCATTTATTACTTCCAGGCTGGACTACGGTAATTCATTATTATCAGGATGTCCTAAAAGCTCCCTGAAAAGCCTTCAGTTAATCCAAAATGCTGCAGCAAGAGTCCTGACAGGGACTAGAAAGAGAGAGAAGATTTCTCCTGTTTTGGCTTCCCTTCATTGGCTTCCTGTTAAATCCAGAATTGAATTCAAAATCCTGCTCCTCACATACAAGGTCTTAAATAATCAGGCCCCATCTTATCTTAATGACCTTGTAGTACCATATCACCCTATTAGAGCACTTCGCTCTCGCTCTGCAGGCCTACTTGTTGTTCCTAGAGTGTTTAAAAGTAGAATGGGAGGGAGAGCCTTCAGTTTTCAGGCCCCTCTTGTGTGGAACCAGCCAAGGGTCAACCATACAATATAAAGCTCCTTGAGGCGACTGATTTGGTGCCATGTAAATAAAAGTGAATTGAATTAAACAAATATGTTCACGTGGACAAATATGTGGCACTAAGCTCACAACTCACTGAGCCATCCAAACAGCCAGTTATGCACTCATTCTGATAACCTCCATCCATCCATTCACTTCCGCTTATCCTTTTCAGGGTTGCGGGGGGCGCTGGAGCCTATCCCAGCTGTCATAGGGCGAGACCCTGGACAGGTCACCAGTCTGTTGCAGGGCTAACACACAGAGACAGACAACCATTCGCACTCACATTCACTCCCGCACACAATGTGTTACATTTTGTGTTACATTTTATATTTTTTACACACAATGTTTACACATTGTGTGTAAACACACCTGAAAAGGGAGCTCCTGGTATTAGAATAGCTTGCTACTTGCTTGTTGGGCTCCCACAGATCGGCACATTAAGTAGTATAAAGTGAGGGATTATTGGATGAATTAAGAAATTTATTAATCTATTACTGTAACATATAATTTGATTTAAAAGATGTTCAGAAACTTCATTTATTTGAACAATGTTTTGCCCGCTTTTGAAAACTCACTTTGTGTTCTTTGTGAGTGTAAGTTATCCATCTCAGAATACCATCAAACATTTACATGGAAGCCTTGTGTTTATCTTTGCATCTTCAAGACGTTGAGCCAAAGACAAAGTGAAATAAAAATAACTGTGCTATGTTCCAAGAAAGCATACCATCAGATGTATGACAGCTTAGGTTTAAAAAAAAACAACTGCTCTTAACCCTTTAACAACCTGCTTTTCCCTTGTTTGTTTCTTGGTGTGGAGCAGAAACAGAATGTTAATGTGTGCCATTTTAGTTTAAACTACCTAGCTAGGAAACAGACCATTGCTGGTTATGAATTGTAGGGTAAATTTGTTGGTAATTTGTGTTGTGTTATTTATTTAACTGTCATTAATTGTGACATTATTCATGGTTTGGATGGTTACAAATGAAATAATCTTTCACAAGTGAAGAAATTAGATTTATCATATTATTTTCCAAGCCATAGTCAGCAATATGTTTTAATATGTTTTTACAGTTTAGCAGAAACACTATATGTTCTGTGATCCTCATGATAATGATAACTGTTTCAGCATATGGATCTCCTGTCATGAAAAAGTCCATAACATGGAACAGACGTTTTTGATATTTTTAGTCAATCACAGCTGTTCTTAAATACGTTAGGAACTAATATCATTAAAGCGAAATGATTAACGTAGAGCTATACTGGACATGGACAAGAAGATATTCAACCCAAATGACAATGTAGGCAGGAACAGAACGTTAACAAAAGGTGAGCTGTTTATTCAAAACAGTACAAAATAAGAAAACCGAACTGAAATGAGGAACTACACAGAAAAGCTAAACTGGGGAAAATGGGAGAACCTGAGAAACACTGGACACACACAACCTGAGAGACACAGAGGAAGACAAACACACGCTCTGACAAATAGCAAGAGATAATACATACTCTGAGGGAACAAAGAAGGAACACAATTGGAGATTAACAAGGCACGGGAAGCAAAACTGAACAAAATGAACATGAGACTAGGACTAACAAAATAAAAGAAGAAGTAGCACGAACACTGAGACTCAGATAAGGACATGCGAGCTTGAAGCTAAGATGGGGATAAACAAACATGGAAACACATGACAGACTGGGGAGACACAAAGGATGAAACACAGAGAAGAACGTGGGAACAGTGACAAGACAGAGCAAGTCAAGCCATGAAGCACAGAAGGTCCAAAAACAGTTCTGGAGGTCTACCTGACCGCTGGGGGAGACTGAGGCCTGCTGCAGGGACAGAGGCATCCTAGGGACTGGCCCAAGTACACGTTACAATCACCCAGAAAAGCAACAGCAAACAGCAAAATAACAGACCAAAAGTCAGTGATTGAATTTTTGTATTTTGGAGGTGTATTCTATAAACAATACATTTCTCAGCTGTCATTAAGAATGTTTAAATGGTTTAACACAGTTATACAATTGTATTGAGAAAGATTTGTGGTACACAGATGTCCATTCATTCACAAACCAAATACATCTTTGTGTTTGACATGTCTCCAAAGAGCCTAGGAGCAGAAACACAGCTGATTTCAAATGGATTACAACCATTACGTCTCTGCTGAGGCCACCTGAGATAACAGACTAATGGCAGTGACCAGCTCCTTGGTTTGGGTTTTGGCTTTAAGCCTGGGCCTGGGGAAACTGGATCCCAGTTGAAAATAAGTCTTGGCATACACCAATACAATATTTGTATTGGTGTATGCCAAGAAAGCACTGCGCTGTTAGGGTTGTAAGAGGCCCCAACTTATGGTGTTTGTCCCATAAATTTAGCATGTAATTTTCTGTAACAAAAAAACTCATGGGTGGGTACAGTAGAAGAAGAAAGGAAAATTTTGAGGTTACAGAGAAAATAAAGCAAACTATATAGCAAAAACTTTTTAGGAACCTTTTTTCTTTTTTTTACTATTTTGTGAAAGAAATTTGTTTTGTATAACAAAGATGCTACCAAAACAAAACTAAAAAATGTGCTGTGCAGGCCTGCTAAAGCAGAACCAGACCAGACTGATGCTCCTGTGAAGAATCTGTTTAAAATCAACAAAATATTATGTGACAGCAACCCAACAGAGTCACACTGCAATGATGAAAGTAAATGTCTGTCATTTATTTATGCACCCAAGTATGGCTCAGCTGGTCGAACATACTTACCTTGTTCCATCCTCTGTCAAACTCCACAAGCACAGATGTCTGAAGCTCTTCTCAGGAGAAAGGTGAACTGGAGCATCCAATTTCCAACTTCTTTTATAAGCCATAATGTAAATGGTAAAATGGTAAATGGCCTGTATTTGTATAGCGCTTTACTTAATCCCTATGGACCCCAAAGCGCTATACACTACATTCAGTCATCCACCAATTCACACACTGGTGATAGCAAGCTACATTGTAGCCACAGGTGCCCACTGACAGAGGCGAAGCTATCGGACACTGGCACCACCAGGCCCTCTGACCACCACCAGTAGGCAACAGGTGAAGCGTCTTGCCCGAGGACACAACGACCTAGACTGTAGGAGCCAGGGCTCGAACTGGCAACCTTCCGATTACAAGATGAACTGTCAACTCTTGAGCCACTATCACCCCATGGCGATGTATAACAGATTTTGGAATAGCAATAAATAAAAAGATAAATAATGAAAAATCTGTCCAAGTGTTTACTTTGGTAATGTAAAAAATACTAGCCAAGCAAGCTAAAACTACACATATTTGCTAAACTGTGCTAAAATATTTTTTTTATAAAACTAAACTCAGGATAATGCTTGGAAATAGAAGCACCATGTTTTTGGTTACTGAAAAACATTTTCAGTAGTAACCATTCAACACTATAATCAATGACAATCTTCTGTTGCTGAGAAAAACTAACTTACACTGTTACAAAGGCACAGTTATACCTGTTTATTTTTAAAGGCAGTATTTGTTTTACTTCAGCAGTCATACACCTGAAAGTATGCGAGACATTTTTGAAACATAACACTCCTGACAATTATTTTTCATTTTATTGTCCTTGAACTCAGGTTTTGCAGCATATCTGTGTCACAGACAAGGAGAGACAGCATCAAAATAACACAAAAAAATATTTTATTTTATGTACTGGAATGTGCAGAAAATAGGTTTAAATGTTAAACAAATTTCTTCCAATCAGAGAATGTTGCATATAATTAAATTTTTGCTTGGTGCATAAAGTTAAAAGATTAAACAAGTTTTAAAAAGAGACTTTTCCATTTGATTACATTTTGTATGATGGATTATGCAGAAAAAGTAGAATTGGGCTGAAAACTGCTTTATCACCTAATCAGGTTGTAAATCGTGTTTTTAAAAAGTAACTAAGTAACTAAATAACTAAGTAATTATTTACCTTTGAAAATAAGTAATCAGTAAAGTAATAGGATTACTTTTTTTGGAGGAAGTAATCAGTAATTAGTTACTGATTACTTTTTTCAAGTAACTTGACTAACACTGGTTATGAGCTATACCATAATTCTGCAATCAGTGTAAATCGATGAACTTGACAGAAGCAGTGAGAGGTTAGCAGAGTTTATAACTGCAGTTTAAACACCAGGGTGTGGTGTAAGAACGAGGGGCTGATGTGATACACCCACTTCATGTTTAGATATCATTCTCACAACTGCTTAAATCCTGTCTTTGGAGCGTGACACAGATGTAAAGACTTTGTATCTCTTTTTTTGTCATGGAAAATTTGCACAGTCCTTTGTTGTGCATGCACACAGAACCAGGTCTTATTCTGAGTGGTTGAAAAATAGGCCTCAACACAAAAGGGACAAACAAGAGTTCACAACAAAGGGAAGAAGTGTGAAAAAAGCACAGAAACTGAGCAAGCAAGCGGCTACAGTGTGAATTTTCATTGTTTTTGGCTTCATGTCAGCTTATTCTGTGTTACAAATGTTGTGTGTTGATGGACAGTCTGCAAAGCTGTGCATAGGATCTGCACAACCACACCATCCCAGACAAAATAGTTACACAACAAAATTGTCCTCCGTGTACAGTGGTTCCAAGAGTTCAAATGTACTGCAACTTAAGAAAACACCAGCACATATTACAACGCTGCAAAAAAACACAAAAACAACACATTTAAAAGAAGCAGAGAGTTCAGCTGTGTTATCAGGAGGAAAAAGATGCAAGGGAGCATGTGTTTTATTCACATGATTGTATAATAATGTAGATGTAGATGTTTACTATTAGCTTTTCACTTCCACAGCTGTTTTGTCACACCATTCTCCCCAAAATACTGTTGTTGTTGTACCTTTTAAAGTATTATGGTAAATGGTAAATGGCCTGTATTTGTATAGCGCTTTACTAGTCCCTATAAGGACCCCAAAGCGCTTTAGATATCCAGTCATCCACCCATTCACACACTGGTGATGGCAAGCTACGTTGTAGCCACAGCCACCCTGGGGCGCACTGACAGAGACGAGGCTGCCGGACACTGGCGCCACCGGGCCCTCTGACCACCACCAGTAGGCAACGGGGGAAATCTATCGATCGGCTGCCCTGATCTCCAGTCTGCATGCCTGGGTGTCATTGGGCAAGATTCCCAACATTTGCATTCTGATACATTCATCAGAGTACAAATGTTGTATAAAGTGCTTTGAAGGCTCAGGTAGAGTAGAAAACACTATATAAGAAGCAGTCCATTTTCCATTTACTGGGGATTAAACTCCATAATCATGTAAGTCAGCAGAATGTCTTATTTTTTCAGATTTCTTAACCTTTATTATTTTCATCTTTTTGGTCTTTATGCTTTCAAACCATTGCACTGTAGGTTAGGAAAGCTGAGTAAGTAATATAAAACCCAGACTGCATATTTAAGCTTTACACTAAGTACTCTAATAAAATTGAAGAAAAATAATGCACCCTTAAAGTTGATCATTCAATCAAAAGTTATTTAAGCATAAAGTAATTGCATGTTGAAAATGTACGGGGATTTCAAACTGTGCAGAGTTATGGATGCATAAAAGATTTTTAATAAGTGTGGTATATACATGAATGTTCATTATTTTGAAGTATAATTAAGAACATATTTCTTATCTTTTTTTCTCTTTTTAAAAGACCTGAGGGTAAACTGTAACTGTAGTAGAGCATAACAAGTCATCTAACAGCTACTCATTATTTCATTTTGTCTTTGGATTCGGGTTTTGCAGCATGTCTGTGTAACCGATAGCACTTAAGTGTTTTCACAGCTGTGGAAATAAACACAAGGCTTCCAGCTTAATGGTGTTTGATGACATTTTAGAGAATGGATGTGTTCGTATCAACTGAAAGAGAAACGCATCTGTCAGGTAACCACAAGAAGTATGTGTGTATATTCATGTAACATCTACGTAGTGTCAAGCCAGTATTTTGGATTTTTTTGCAAGTTATGCATAACTTTAAGGTATACAACAATTCTCCCTGGTACAGTTTTTGCAAAAATACATGCACACTGCCCCCAGCATCGGGGCCATCATGGTTCTGAGCACTGCAGCAGCGGTCTCTCACTGTCTTGTGTGCTCACGGACAGACTTTGGCAACACAATAGTAACACATTTTCACAGGTGTGTAAGGTTGAGAACAAAATTAATGATCCAACGTCATTTGTTTCAGTTCCATAGAAATATTTTGACAGCTTTTTGTTTCACTCTATATTGACTTATGTCAACATTTTTGTGGGTCTACAAAAAAATGTTGATGATAGTTTATAACTGAGGAAATTTGGTTTAAGTGCCGCTCCTCAGAGTACACTGTTTAATTCTCTCACAGCCTAAGAAGCGACAACAACACTTCCATCTACATCAGGTACCGCAAATTAAAATTTTACATGGCAACGTATATATAGTTTAAGTATATATGTTTATATATTATAAGTAATGATAGATATTTATCCAAAAAGTTCTTTTTTAATACGGAAAAAAAGTTCTTTTTTAATTTATTATTTTTCAGTTTCAAAGTTATTTAAATTGCTATAGTTTGGATTGGAGGATAAAGAAGTATAATGAAGGGATTTATCCCTATTAAAATATTAATAAATGCACACATATGAGTCAGAATGCATTACAACAAATTTTGTCCCTGCCTTTTAAAAACCTTATTTACTCTACCTTTAAAATGAAGGACTTGGAATGTAGCTGACTACATTTTTACTGGCTATTGTGGAACATCATGTTCTTATCAAATTGACTCTTTCTGTGCACAGCGCTTAATAAATGAATTTTACTTACCAACAAAGAATTTCCATATGGATGCATTCACAGTAAACTGATTTCATTTTGTACAATGTTATATCTTCTTGAAGGATCCACAGTGGCAAACCTGATTTACATGAAACCATATTTATGATATTTAGAAACATGGAGCATAGAGAGTGTTTTTTGTTTGTGTGTTTGTTCTTTATTCTATTTTTTTTATAGTTAACATATACAGCACGGTTTTCAGATCTAATCAGGTCATCATCTGCAGCCCAATGACAGAGCCGTCGTCAGCAGAGTGGGGCTCTGGCCTCTTTGACTGCATGGAAGACAAGTTGTCTTGTAAGAATCAATACTGGACTTTAACTTGTATTTTTGATGTGTAAAAAATGCCAATATTTTACTATTTGTGTCATGATTTTCAGGTTGCTATGCTCTTTGGTGCTGGCCATGCTATGCGATCACCATTTCAAAATCACTTGGAGAGAACCCTTTCCTCCCGATTTTGGACATGTGCTCCCCTGGGGCACTATCCATCCTCGGGATACCATTGTTTGTTGCTCCCGTAGCCTTGTCATTCAGGATTACCATGAGAAAGAAATATGGAATTGAGGTATGACACCAATAAAAGAAATTTTCTTTTTTTTTTTAACAGATATCATTTATAAGATGCATTTCTTCATCTAGAAATGCAGATTTATAAAAATCTTTACACAAAAACCTTTTAATAAACAACCAAGAATGTGAAAAAACACCTTTAATGTAATGTTGCAAACCTAAGTGCAGTTATCTATAATGCAAATATTATGTTATAATTAAAGGATAGAAATAACAAACAGCTACTTCCTCCATAGGGGACTCTCCAGAGAGACATCGTACACACTTGTTTCTGCAACCTATGTGTCTGGTGTCAGATTGATCGTGAGCTAAAACATCGTAAGAATAGCTCTACTGTGCTATCTCAAAATCCTGTGACTGCACAACCTGGAGCCACTGGAAAATAATTGTAACAAAAAGTACAAAATTAAAATAGATGCACCTCATGTACTTATGTATTTCCCTTTCTCTTACTTTCTGTTACAATAAAGAGTTTTAGCGACTTTCTGTTTTTAAAACAAATATTTTTATTGAAAACAATAAAAATGTGATGTAATGTAATTATGATTCAACTATTTGAAAATTGTACTGCACTCCTGGATTATGTTTGGGTACAAAGTCAATATTGTGACTGTTATTCATCTACCTGGCTATAAATCTAATGGCTACTAATGTGTGCATGTAAGTATCTCTCAATCAGACACAATAAACAAATAAATCTGAGTAATATCTTTTTTTGTCTCTAATGATGAAGAACTTTAAAGCAAAAGAAATATTAAGCTCCAATTATTGGCAAGCTCGATGTTTTTTTTTTTTTGTTTGTTTGGTTTTTTTTTGTGTATTTATTTTATTTTATTTTCAGTTGTTACAGACGGGACAGACATGACTGGGGGATAGAACAGGGAAAAAGAAAGAATGAAAGAAACAGAGGCAGAGAAAGACAAAATAGAGGGGAGAGAGAAAAAAAGCAAAGCAAACAAAAAAAACAAACAAACAAAAAAGACAAAAAAACCCCACCTTCATCACCTGTATGAGGAAATAAGAAAAGAAGAGAAAACAAAGAAGAGCAACATAATAAATACAACACCATCACAATAAACTAGCTAACAGTAGATACTAAATATTAAATGTTATTGTGCAGTACGCAAGATCGACAGTGCTCTGAGGTAGCAGCCACAAAGGTGTAGTTTGTGTGTGTGAACAACCGTGTGTACACCTGTGTGCATACCTGTGTGGATCCACACGCTTGTATTCAAAAGGTTTCTCCATTTAACGATCTGCTAGGGAGTGTGGGGAGCCATAGCCCCGTCCCCCAGGGCATGAAGCAGGTATGGAGGAGATCCAGGCCCCAGACATCCAGAGGGCCCAGAGTACGAGGACCCAAGGAGAACCACCAAAGGGGCAACCGTGCCACCCTCCTGGGAAGAGCTGAGGAGAACCCAAGACAAGGGGTCACCCAGCAGCCACGGAGCAGAGGCCAGAGGGGGCTGCAGTGATGTGCCCACGGCAGCCCCCCCTGACCCCACCGCAGAGAAAACTGCACCCACCCCATCATCCACTCATCTTCCAGACTACACAAGACAATAAACACCCAGGTTGAATTCATTCTCCACCTCTCCTATATCTCGCCCCCACCAGCAGAGTGAGCTCCTGGAGAGAGGTGACCTCCTGCAAAGATGTAACATCCTGCCCACCAGTTGGAGAGCCCTCCAGGTGGGCCGATGCACTAGAGGTCTGCTGCACCAGGGCTGAGCCCCCATGCACCCACCCGCCCACAAACCGGGCGACTCAATAACCAGGATCCAAGCCCCCAAGGCCCAGCCAGAGCCCCAGCCAGGGGCCAGAGCACCACAAGACCCCCAAGCCCCCACGCATGTCCCGGCAAGCTCGATGTTAGAATAGCATCACTGTCACCGATGGTGAGAAGAAGCCTGTGCTGTGTGTTATTTGAGGTTTCTGTGGTGTTTGTTACTGGTGTTTAGTTACACCAGCGTTCCCATCATATTACGTTCAGTATTTATCTCTTATCTTTTGGGTAATTTCCTGTTTTCTTAGCTTGTTTTCTGTTGAGTTCGGGTTGAGTTCACTGTCTACACCTGTGTCCTGTTCTTCTAGCTGTATCTGTGTTCGTGTGTGTGTGTGTGTGTGTGTGTGTGTGTGTGTCTCATAATCACAACTATGGGCAACTTAGAATCACCAGTTAACCTAACCATACTGACTATATGTCTCTACCCAAGAACTTGTTGCTGTGAGCCAACAGTGGTAACCACAGAGTGACTGTACTGCAGTAAATTCATTCATGGGATAAATTTATCGCTCCAGAAGTGTGTTCCTTTTGTCAGATTTACTCATTCATAATTGAGTATAAAATTGTTTTTTAGTTTTTAAAGTAAAACTTTTTCAAGTGAAATTTTCTGTATTTAATTACTGGATAGCTAAAATATTATATTTTCCTTTTATCAAGAATAGAACAGCTGTGTGATCTGAGTCAGACAGGCTCTCTCTCTCTCTCACACACACACACACACACACACATGACACTAGACAGGAACAGGGTAGACAAAGACACACACACACACAACACACACACACACTATCAACACATAACTACACACACACACACACACACACACACACACACACACACACACGAACACAGATACAGCTAGAAGAACAGGACACAGGTGTAGACAGTTAAGACAATGACAAGGTGGAACCCGAACTCAACAGAAAACAAGCTAAGAAAACAGGAAATTACCCAAAAGATAAGAGATAAATACTGAACGTAATATGATGGGAACGCTGGTGTAACTAAACACCAGTAACAAACACCACAGAAACCTCAAATAACACACAGCACAGGCTTCTTCTCACCATCGGTGACAGTGATGCTATTCTAACATCGAGCTTGCCGGGACATGCGTGGGGGCTTGGGGGTCTGGTGGTGCTCCGGCCCCTGGCTGGGGCTCTGGCTGGGCCTTGGGGGCTTGGATCCTGGTTATTGAGTCGCCAGGTTTGTGGGCGGGTGGGTGCATGGGGGCTCAGCCCTGGTGCGAGACCTCTGTGCATCGGCCCAACCTGGAGGGCTCTCAACTGGTGGAGGAGTTACATCTTTGCAGGAGGTCACCTCTCTCCAGGAGCTCACTCTGCTGGTGGGGGCGAGATATAGGAGAGGTGGAGAATGAATTCAACCTGGGTGTTTATTGTCTTGTGTAGTCTGGAAGATGAGTGGATGATGGGGTGGGTGCAGTTTTCTCTGGGTGGGGTCAGGGGGCTGCGGGCGCACATTCACTGCAACCCCGGCCTAACTCCGTGGCTGCTGGACCCTTCTGGTCTCCTCGCTCTCCAGGAGGGTGGCGTGCTTGCCGCCTTCTCTTGGTCCTCTCCTGGCTCTGGATGTCTGAGGGCATGACTCCTCTACCTGCTATGGTCGGTTGGCTCAGACGGGCATGTCCCACTTGTAGCTCCGCCTTAATGCAGGCCTCGTGAGTGCGTGTGAATGAAATCGATATCTTGCCAAGGCCTGAACGGGACTTTTGGCATTCCACGTACGCCGATTCTTAGCATGGCGACCCCATGAATCACACAGCAGAGTACACGCGTGGCATTGCACATGGCTGTGCACACGCGTTGTCCAGCGACACACAAACTACAACCTTTGTGGCTCCTACCTCAGAGCGACATTGTGCGCTCGTCGATTGCTTGCGTACTCCGCACAATAACATTTCCATTATATTTCCATAGTATCTACTGGTTAGCTAAGTCTTATTAGGTGATGTGTAATGATATTTATATATGTTGCTGCTTCTTTGGTTTTCCCTCTTTTACATACCCTTTCCTCATACAGGTGATGAAGGTGTATTTTTTTGTCTTTTCTGTAATTTTGTTTGTTAATTTGTTTGTCATTTCTTTTTTCTCTCTCTCCCTCTGATATATTGTCATCTCTTCTTGTCTTCTGTATCAATCATTCTCTTTTCCCTTGTATCATCCACCCAGTCATGCTCTATGATACCCGCTGTACAACAATCTATAGACAAATAAAGATAAAATAGTAAAGAGTACACAAAAAAAACCCAAACAAATCATAATAAAAAAGACATATCGAGCTTGCCAATGTACTATAATTGAGCTTAATATTTTGCTTTATAAGTTCGTTCATCATATAAGGAACAAAAACAAAGATAAATTACCTCAGCATTATTGATGTGTTATCGTCCAGTAACTGATTGAAGAGCATACTTACATGCACACATGTATTAGCCATAGTATTTATTAGCCAGGTATGAAACTGATAAATGAGTAACAGTCACAGATATCCTAACTTTGTTACCCAAAATCAGATCCAGCCAGTGACCGTTACCCTAATTATTCACATAGTTAGCAATCATTTAATTAATATACTACTTCAATCTAACTGTATGCCAATGGAATGAATTAGTTTTCAAAGCTAAAATATGTTTGTTTTAAAAAGAGAAAGTCACGTATATAAACTCATTTAATGTAAAACGAGAAAGTAAGAAAAAAGGGAAAATACAGTAAGTACCACTACCAATTGGTGACGGCGTTCGGCATGTATTTTACTTCGTATTTTGATTAAACCTTATTGTAAAGATAAAAACGTTTTAGTACATTTATTTTTACTTTCCAGTGGCTCCAGGTTGTGCAGTCACAGGATTTTGAGATAGCACAGTAGAGCTATTCTTACGATGTTTTAGCTCACGATCAATCTGACACCAGACACATAGGTTGCAGAAACAAGTGTGTACGATGTCTCTCTGGAGAGTCCCCTATGGAGGAAATAGCTGTTTGTTATTTCTATCCTTTAATTATAACATAATATTTGCATTATAGATAACTGCACTTAGGTTTGCAACATTACATTAAAGGTTTTTTTTCACATTCTTGGTTGTTTATTAAAAGGTTTTTGTGTAAAGATTTTTATAAATCTGCATTTCTAGATGAAGAAATGCATCTTATAAATGATATCTGTTAAAAAAAATGTAAAATTGTTTATTGGTGTCATACCTCAATTCCATATTTCTTTCTCATGGTAATCCTGAATGACAAGGCTACGGGAGCAACAAACAATGGTATCCCGAGGATGGATAGTGCCCCAGGGGAGCACATGTCCAAAATCGGGAGGAAAGGGTTCTCTCCAAGTGATTTTGAAATGGTGATCGCATAGCATGGCCAGCACCAAAGAGCATAGCAACCTGAAAATTATGACACAAATAGTAAAATATTGGCATTTTTTACACATCAAAAATACAAGTTAAAGTCCAGTATTGATTCTTACAAGACAACTTGTCTTCCATGCAGTCAAAGAGGCCAGAGCCCCACTCTGCTGACGACGGCTCTGTCATTGGGCTGCAGATGATGACCTGATTAGATCTGAAAACCGTGCTGTATATGTTAACTATAAAAAAAATAGAATAAAGAACAAACACACAAACATAAAACACCCTCTATGCTCCATGTTTCTAAATATCATAAATATGGTTCATGTAAATCAGGTTTGCCACTGTGGATCCTTCAAGAAGATATAACATTGTACAAAATGAAATCAGTTTACTGTGAATGCATCCATATGGAAATTCTTTGTTGGTAAGTAAAATTCATTTATTAAGCGCTGTGCACAAAAAGAGTCAACTTGATAAGAACATGATGTTCCACAATAGCCAGTAAAAATACAATAGACTCAATAAAATAAACAGGTTGTTTTTAAATAAATATTAATTCAGTAAAATGTGGCAACAGAAAGCCTGTTTACATTTTTAAAAAGCAGCTACGTTCCAAGTCCTTCATTTTAAAGGTACACTATATAAGGTTTTTAAAAGGCAGGGACAAAATTTGTTGTAGTGCATTCTGATTCATATGTGTGCATTTATTAATATTTTAATAGGGATAAATCCCTTCATTATACTTCTTTATCCTCCAATCCAAACTATAGCAATTTCAATAACTTTGAAACTGAAAAATAATAAATTAAAAAAGAACTTTTTTTCCGTATTAAAAAAGAACTTTTTGGATAAATATCTATCATTACTTATAATATATAAACATATATATTTAAACTATATATACGTTGCCATGTAAAATTTTAATTTGCGGTACCTGATGTAGATGGAAGTGTTGTTGTCGCTTCTTAGGCTGTGAGAGAATTAAACAGTGTACTCTGAGGAGCGGCACTTAAAGCAAATTTCCTCAGTTATAAACTATCATCAACATTTTTTTGTAGACCCACAAAAATGTTGACATAAGTCAATATAGAGTGAAACAAAAAGCTGTCAAAATATTTCTATGGAACTGAAACAAATGACGTTGGATCATTCATTTTGTTCTCAACCTTACACACCTGTGAAAATGTGTTACTATTGTGTTGCCAAAGTCTGTCCGTGAGAACACAAGACAGTGAGAGACCGCTGCTGCAGTGCTCAGAACCATGATGGCCCCAATGCTGGGGGCAGTGTGCATGTGCTTTTGCAAAAACTGTACCAGGGGGAATTGTTGTATACTTTAAAGTTATGCATAACTTGCAAAAAAATCCAAAATACTGGCTTGACACTACGTAGATGTTACATGAATATACACACATACTTCTTGTGGTTACCTGACAGATGCGTTTCTCTTTCAGTTGATACGAACACATCCATTCTCTAAAATGTCATCAAACACCATTAAGCTGGAAGCCTTGTGTTTATTTCCACAGCTGTGAAAACACTTAAGTGTTATCGGTTACACAGACATGCTGCAAAACCCGAATCCAAAGACAAAATGAAATAATGAGTAGCTGTTAGATGACTTGTTATGCTCTACTACAGTTACAGTTTACCCTCAGGTCTTTTAAAAAGAGAAAAAAAGATAAGAAATATGTTCTTAATTATACTTCAAAATAATGAACATTCATGTATATACCACACTTATTAAAAATCTTTTACGCATCCATAACTCTGCACAGTTTGAAATCTCCCTACATTTTCAACAATTACTTTATGCTTAAATAACTTTTGAATGATCAACTTTAAGGGTGCATTATTTTTCTTCAATTTTATTAGAGTACTTAGTAAAGCTTAAATATGCAGTCTGGGTTTTATATTACTTACTCAGCTTTCCTAACCTACAGTGCAATGGTTTGAAAGCATAAAGACCAAGAAGATGAAAATAATAAAGGTTAAGAAATCTGAAAAAATAAGACATTCTGCTGACTTACATGATTATGGAGTTTAATCCCCAGTAAAAGGTAAATGGACTGCTTCTTATATAGTGTTTTCTACTCTACCTGAGCCTTCAAAGCACTTTATACAACATTTGTACTCGGATGAATGTATCAGAATGCAAATGTTGGGAATCTTGCCCAATGACACCCAGGCATGCAGACTGGAGATCAGGGCAACCGATCGATAGATTTCCCCCGTTGCCTACTGGTGGTGGTCAGAGGGCCCGGTGGCGCCAGTGTCCGGCAGCCTCGCCTCTGTCAGTGCGCCCCAGGGTGGCTGTGGCTACAATGTAGCTTGCCATCACCAGTGTGTGAATGGGTGGATGACTGAATGTAGTGTAAGCGCTTTGGGGTCCTTAGGGACTAAGTAAAGCGCTATACAAATACAGGCCATTTACCATTTTACCATTTACATTATGGCTTATAAAAGAAGTTGGAAATTGGATGCTCCAGTTCACCTTTCTCCTGAGAAGAGCTTCAGACATCTGTGCTTGTGGAGTTTGACAGAGGATGGAACAAGGTAAGTATGTTCAACCAGCTGAGCCATACTTGGGTGCATAAATAAATGACAGACATTTACTTTCATCATTGCAGTGTGACTCTGTTGGGTTGCTGTCACATAATATTTTGTTGATTTTAAACAGATTCTTCACAGGAGCATCAGTCTGGTCTGGTTCTGCTTTAGCAGGCCTGCACAGCAAATTTTTTAGTTTTGTTTTGGTAGCATCTTTGTTATACAAAACAAATTTCTTTCATAAAATAGTAAAAAAAAAGAAAAAAGGTTCCTAAAAAGTTTTTGCTATATAATTTGCTTTATTTTCTCTGTAACCTCAAAATTTTCCTTTCTTCTTCTACTGTACCCACCCATGAGTTTTTTTGCTACAGAAAATTACATGCTAAATTTATGGGACAAACACCATAAGTTGGGGGCTCTTTTATGAAGTGTTACCAAGGCCTCTTACAACCCTAACAGCGCAGTGCTTTCTTGGCATACACCAATACAAATATTGTATTGGTGTATGCCAAGACTTATTTTCAAGCCTGGGCCTGGGATCCAGTTTCCGCAGGCCCAGGCTTAAAGCCAAAACCCAAAGCAAGGAGCTGGTCACTGCCATTGGTCTGTTATCTCAGGTGGCCTCAGCAGAGACGTAATGGTTGTAATCCATTTGAAATCAGCTGTGTTTCTGCTCCTAGGCTCTTTGGAGACATGTCAAACACAAAGATGTATTTGGTTTGTGAATGAATGGACATCTGTGTACCACAAATCTTTCTCAATACAATTGTATAACTGTGTTAAACCATTTAAACATTCTTAATGACAGCTGAGAAACGTATTGTTTATAGAATACGCCTCCAAAATGCAAAAATTCAATCATTGATTTTTGGTCTGTTATTTTGCTGTTTGCTGTTGCTTTTCTGGGTGATTGTAACGTGTACTTGGGCTAGTCCCTAGGATGCCTCTGTCCCTGCAGCAGGCCTCAGTCTCCCCCAGCGGTCAGGTAGACCTCCAGAACTGTTTTTGGACCTTCTGTGCTTCATGGCTTGACTTGCTCTGTCTCGTCACTGTTCCCACGTTCTTCTCTGTGTTTCATCCTTTGTGTCTCCCCAGTCTGTCGTGTGTTTCCATGTTTGTTTATCCCCATCTTAGCTTCAAGCTCGCATGTCCTTACCTGAGTCTCAGTGTTCGTGCTACTTCTTCTTTTATTTTGTTAGTCCTAGTCTCATGTGCATTTTGTTCAGTTTTGCTTCCCGTGCCTTGTTAATCTCCAATTGTGTTCCTTCTGTGTTCCCTCAGAATATATATTATCTCTTGCTATTTGTCAGAGCGTGTGTTTGTCTTCCTCTGTGTCTCTCAGGTTGTGTGTGTCCAATGTTTCTCAGGTTCTCCCATTTTCCCCAGTTTAGCTTTTCTATGTAGTTCCTCATTTCAGTTCGGCTTTCTTATTTTGTACTGTTTTGAATAAACAGCTCACCTTTTGTTAACGTTCTGTTCCTGCCTACATTGTCATTTAGGTTGAATATCTTCTTGTCCATGTCCAGTATAGCTCTACTTTAATCATTTCGCTTTAATGATATTAGTTCCTAACGTATTTAAGAACAGCTGTGATTGACTAAAAATATCAAAAACGTCTGTTCCATGTTATGGACTTTTTCATGACAGGAGATCCATATGCTGAAACAGTTATCATTATCATGAGGATCACAGAACATATAGTGTTTCTGCTAAACTGTAAAAACATATTAAAACATATCGCTGACTATGGCTTGGAAAATAATATGATAAATCTAATTTCTTCACTTGTGAAAGATTATTTCATTTGTAACCATCCAAACCATGAATAATGTCACAATTAATGACAGTTAAATAAATAACACAACACAAATTACCAACAAATTTACCCTACAATTCATAACCAGCAATGGTCTGTTTCCTAGCTAGGTAGTTTAAACTAAAATGGCACACATTAACATTCTGTTTCTGCTCCACACCAAGAAACAAACAATGGAAAAGCAGGTTGTTAAAGGGTTAAGAGCAGTTGTTTTTTTTTTAAGCTAAGCTGTCATACATCTGATGGTATGCTTTCTTGGAACATAACACAGTTATTTTTATTTCACTTTGTCTTTGGCTCAACATCTTGAAGATGCAAAGATAAACACAAGGCTTCCATGTAAATGTTTGATGGTATTCTGAGATGGATAACTTACACTCACAAAGAACACAAAGTGAGTTTTCAAAAACGGGCAAAACATTGTTCAAATAAATGAAGTTTCTGAACATCTTTTAAATCAAATTATATGTTACAGTAATAGATTAATAAATTTCTTAATTCATCCAATAATCCCTCACTTTATACTACTTAATGTGCCGATCTGTGGGAGCCCAACAAGCAAGTAGCAAGCTATTCTAATACCAGGAGCTCCCTTTTCAGGTGTGTTTACACACAATGTGTAAACATTGTGTGTAAAAAATATAAAATGTAACACAAAATGTAACACATTGTGTGCGGGAGTGAATGTGAGTGCGAATGGTTGTCTGTCTCTGTGTGTTAGCCCTGCGACAGACTGGCGACCTGTCCAGGGTCTCGCCCTATGACAGCTGGGATAGGCTCCAGCGCCCCCCGCGACCCTGAAAAGGATAAGCGGAAGCGAATGGATGGATGGAGGTTATCAGAATGAGTGCATAACTGGCTGTTTGGATGGCTCAGTGAGTTGTGAGCTTAGTGCCTCATATTTGTCCACGTGAACATATTTGTGTCTTCAATTCAATTTGTTTAATTCAATTCACTTTTATTTACATGGCACCAAATCAGTCGCCTCAAGGAGCTTTATATTGTATGGTTGACCCTTGGCTGGTTCCACAGAAGAGGGGCCTGAAAACTGAAGGCTCTCCCTCCCATTCTACTTTTAAATACTCTAGGAACAACAAGTAGGCCTGCAGAGTGAGAGCGAAGTGCTCTAATAGGGTGATATGGTACTACAAGGTCATTAAGATAAGATGGGGCCTGATTATTTAAGACCTTGTATGTGAGGAGCAGGATTTTGAATTCAATTCTGGATTTAACAGGAAGCCAATGAAGGGAAGCCAAAACAGGAGAAATATGCTCTCTCTTTCTAGTCCCTGTCAGGACTCTTGCTGCAGCATTTTGGATTAAGCTGAAGGCTTTTCAGGGAGTTTTTTGGACATCCTGATAATAATGAATTACAGTAGTCCAGCCTGGAAGTAATAAATGCATGAACTAGTTTTTCAGCGTCACTCTGAGACAGGATATTTCTAATTTTAGAGATGTTGCGCAAATGGAAGAAAGCAGTCTTACATACTTTGTTTAATTGTGATCTGAAACACATTCCTGGCAACTACAAAAATATAAACCCATGGACACATGATTCCTAATGTACATTATTGTTTTAACCCTTTTTCTGGCAATAATTCTGGTTCTACAACATTGTTTTTGCCAAGTGATTGTATAATACAAAAGGCACAGAAGGCATGTTCTTTCATATTTACCTGACTTCACAACAACATACCCAGCTTTGACAGGTACAGTTTTTTTTGTTGTTGGTAGTTTTTTTTTTCGTGTTTCTTCATAGGAAATGTTATGTATTGTGATTGTTATTGAAAGACATAAAGCAGTATATAGTACTAGCATAAAGCATGAAGTAGTTTTTAAAACATGCTTAGGGCCTGTAACTGATGTCTATTGGCATTGTGTGTAGATTTAGTGTTTTTGTCTTTAAAACTTAACATTGACATTTATGTATTTCAACTGTAGAAGATAGCAGGTTGGGTTTTTTCTGTTTTAATGTTGTTACTAAGCATTTCAGCATCCAAATCAATGTTCCGCATTTGAATCAACAACAAATATTTGCTGCTGAAAGTGACAATTTTGCTATTTAGGTGCTGTTGCTTGGTACTGATTCCTATGTATCAACAGGTAATTTGACTTTATTCTGTGACTAACATTCAACAACAATGGAAACACAATCATCGACAAACTAGAGTACCACCCTCTGTGACTGTTGTAAACACATGACGTCTGTGAAGGATCTCAGTCATCCAGGTCATCGTAGTCAAAGGAGCTTGCAAACACATGACATCTTGTAAGCATCAACAACTCTCTATGAAATTGTACACTATGTGTTGTCGCTTAAATCATGTACTACGTATTTTGTACTGCAGTTGTTTTCAGGCTGCTATAGTTTCTGGTGCTGCCCTTGCCTTACCTGCACAGTTGTAGGACAGATGGGAGACCACCGCTGTGTCCCATTATGCGACATGTTCAGCACAGCTGTGACCTCAGCCATTGGGATACCAATTGTTGTACCTCCTGCTGCCTTGGCCATTAAGGTTGGGATTCGATATAAATATGGCATCAAGGTAAAAATGTCAAAGAAATTCTTGTTAAAAATTTCTGCTGTTTTTTACATTCCCACAGTCAGAAATAAAGAGAATCAAGTATTAGTAATAGTTCAGTTCAGTAATAGTTAATTCAATCCAATCTTTTTAAAGGCACTTTATTTTTTAAGGGTAAACACCCTATAATAATAGAGAGAAAATGCCAACAATCAAATGACCCACTTTGAGCAAGCATTTGGCAACAGTGGAAAGGAAAAACTCATTTTGAACAGAAAGAAATCCATGCTCAGGCAGGGGCAGCTATCTGCCACAACCGATTGGGGTGATGGGAGGAAGGAGCTATAGCTGTAACTAATGACTGGATAAAGTGGTAAAAGTGTATAATTACCAAATATTTCTCTACAGGGTTCTATCTGTAAGGACATCATGAGTTCCTGTTTCTGTGTGTGGTGCTCTTGGTGTGAGATGCACCGTGAGTTAAAAATTCGCAAGAAAAGCACAAGTGTCATCAACATGCAGCCTGCACCAGTTAAGTCCACCAGGCAAAGATGAGAGTCTGTTATGGCTTCATGCCAGGATTGCTTTTCATTGGTGTGATCTGTCTTTAAAAAGGCATTTGATTGAGTTTAACTATGTTTGGTGTGACTAAGTGAACTGGTATTTGGTTTTGACTTTTTTTTTTAAAGAGCTGGTAAGAAGTTTGCTTTGATGATCTAAAGACAAGAACAATATGTTTTATTCATGCATATTTTTAATTTAATCCCTGTTTTAAAGACCTCTGACTCATCAAACACATTTGCAATAAATAAAACAAGAAACGGTCAAAGGCCTTACGATGGGGGATCAGACAAATTGTAACTCAAATCATTATCATAAATCTAACTTTTAAAGAAAGCAGAGTTAAAGTTTGTCTTTGCCTTAGCTCATTCAGCATTCAGTCTAGGTTTACTTTGTGACTTTCAGTTTTCTTGTTTATGATTTGATAGAACAAAAAGATTAATAACATTTTGAAATCTTTGTGTAGTTCTGTAACTTTTTTTCACGTGGTTTTTGTCCTTCATGTAAGTTTCTATCTTTCTGCACCGGCGCTCAACAAAAGAAGTTGTCAAATGAACTTAATAAAAGCATTTTTCCTTTTATGTAAAAATTTACAATGTAATTTTCCACTGTTTTATACTTTTGAATTAAATCCGTCCTGAGCATCGTGTTATATGTTATATTCTGAATATTCAGAATATGTTATATTCTGTAAGCAAGATCTCATGAGTCCCCAGTGTAGTGGCAGTGAAGTCAGCAGAGGCGTCGTAAATGTGTCACGACAAACTCAAGGCTACGTGAACATATTTGAGTAACAATGGAATGGAAATCCATTTTGGCTTCCACAGAAAGGTGGAAACTGCTTCAGCTGCTTTTGCAAATACATAAATACATACAATCACTCACCTTCACACTCGACTCATTTTGATATCCTTGGCAAGACAAAAAAGAAAAAAAACATATATAAAGGTTTTACTAATTTGTATCTTTTTAAAAAAAAAAAAAAAAAAAAAAACTTTGGCAAAAATAATCTTTCCAATAATCTTCTTTCCAGACTCTTACTTTCATTTTATTTTCACTTTCTACTGTACTTGCCGGTAAGTATTTTTAAGTACAGAAGATTACACCCCTAATTTAGAAATGTACCTTTCAAATACTGGGGAAAGAAAACCCTTAAACCAGCTGTACTTTCCTTAACTAAGGCTTGCGTATATGTTAGTATAAAAAATACAGAGTCCCAACATACATTTCTGTGTGATTTTATCCTTCAAATTGCAGCAGGATGAAGCAACAGGTTTGCTTTGTATATGTCATCATAACTTATTCATTTAACTACAAATTAATAGACATGTATTTAAATTAAGGAAAATATCAACAATCACTGTGTCAACTAAATGCTTGTACCCCCTCAAACCTGTGAGATTCCACATCTGCAAGAGTTGGTGTATTAAGTGTTCCAAAAGTCATTATTTTATTAAATGCAATTTTAAATGTCCTATAAACACTTACATCACACTTCTCAAAGGCTCACAATACATTGTTGCCAACTCTGTTTTTGGTTCAACAATTTTATGGTATATACCCCCATCTGCAGGTCATTAGTGGTAAAATATCTACTATGTGAGAGGTAGTGGGACAGTGTGTGGGTTTTGCAATAGCAGTAAGACTGCTTAAGATGTAAAACTACTCAGTTTGCGAAGCACTCTAAAAAATATGATACCTTACAGCTATTATCTTACAAAAAACAGAACTATAGATTAATCACAGTTTGGAGAAAACATCCTGTAAATGCTGTATAGGCAGCACTTAGTAAGAGCTGTTTATTTAAATACATGAAATGATGTTAAGTCATTCTTTAATAACTGTTCAAGCCACATCTTTGCATCATGTTAATGAGACCGACCTAAAGACCAGTGATCTCTTTTTAGCCAGCTGTTTAGGCACCACTGTATCCAGCAGCCTCCTCACTAGGTCCAGGCGTCCTGTCTTGATCAGAACCCTCGATAACTCTGTAACCTCTGCCGTGTGTGTTGTATAAAGGTACCTCAGCTCAGCCTTCACTATGTCCTGAGAGTACAGCTCCTCTGCCTTGAGCACCCACATTTCCAGCTGAGTGATGACAATGCCAGGGTCAGGGTGTCCCTGCATGAACAGAGTCAGGAGAGCCTGTAAGAGGCAGCGCAGGGCTGTGGTGTCTCTGCTCCCTTGTTTCTCTAACTCCAGAGCTTTTTTGAAGCAGTCTACAGCGTTCTGCTCCTCGCCTTTCACGAGGAGGCAGCGTCCTCTGAGCACATGAAGTTCCGGTAAGCAGTCTCCCAGCTCAAACTTCAGAGCGTGAGACAAACTCACCAGGGCACTATTTATTGCACTCTCATCCACCAAAAGGCTCTCCTGGAGTGCATCTACACCCATGTAGTAGTATACCTGAAATGAAAAACATCAACTTGAAAGCCTTGTTGGGACATGAAACACAGAATTTGACCAGCTTTGCACGTTATGCTTTTACCTGTGCCATCTCCAAATGTGTTCGAAGACAGGGGCGTACACCGAGTACTTTGTCTAAGTCTTTTCTAGCTTCAATTAGCTTCTGTCGGTCTGGGATTCCACCATCACCAAGCTTTGCCTTCTCGAGGTCCCCCATGTACAGGATTATATTGATCTACACAGAGAACATGTTGTCCAAATATGTAAACTTTTTACATGTACTAGCCACTTTAAACTAATACAGCTATTCTGGCCTTAAAAGGAGCTGTCATAGCAACTGACTTGATTAGTCGTAGCTACAGTTTCT